TATATATATATATAATTTTTTGTTTTTTTAGTGTTACTAGGTGCTGCGCAGAACCATCAAGCTTGAAGAAAAGAAAGGGAGGTCGCCCTCGGTGGGTGAGGAAGTTTTTTTTGTTTTTTTTTTTAATATAGTGTGTATACATGCTGTTTATTCAGTAATTCATAACATGTGCAACGCCAGAGGAGACATACCCTAAAAGACTTGCAGCTGTAATCACAGGAAAGGTGGTTCCACGAAGTATTAACTCAGGGTTGCTAAATAGCAACAAATATAATTGAATCATTCTCTTTCAACCTAACAATTGTAAACCACTTTATGTTGGCCTTTAAAAAATTCCCATAAAATACATTTATGTTTTTGGTTGTACTGTGACAAGATGTGGAAAGGTGGAAAGGCTTATGAATGCTTTTGCAAACCACTATATCTAAATATTCGTATGTATGGCTACTACTAACATGTTTGTTAAAATACAGCCAGATGACTCCGGAGTTTTAGGAGACAGTGTCAACGTAATACCCTGGCTGAGGGTAAAGGTGGGTTTTTTTTGTTTTGCAAAACTTTTATAAATAGGCATTTCTGCAGGTCAAGTTAGCATGATTTGATGTTTTTAGGATAACGTGTTTTGCATTTAATCAAGGGATTTTTCTAACTTCTGGATTTAAGATAAGCCAATTGTTTTAAACTGAACTCAGCTAAGCTAAGGTTAGCTACAATTGGTAAAAACCGCAAAATAGGATGTCATGCTTCTGTATGTGCTGTTTATAGAATAAAAAAATATGTGTTTTATATTTTTATCATAATCATAGATTTTATTTCAGATAACTGAAGTACACAGGGAGCTGGATCCTATGTTTTAACATTTATTTTTTAAACTCTCCTAACAAGATGTTTTCAATAGTAAAACATGAGTCTCACCTGGCCAGGCATAGAAGGAGGAGGGGGCCAAAAGTAAGGATTGTTAAATCGGGGTTCAGCCATCCTGAAAGAAAAACACAGGATTATGAAAGGGACCAGATCTCTTATACTCCATCGAAGAAATTTAAACTTCTGCAGCCACTGTTGTCACCAGGGTTTTTTTTTAATACAACAGATTTTTACAGATATTGCAGCTTGAATTGATTGTTACCAATATTGATCTAATAAATCACCTCAAACCTAAAAAGCTTTTATTACTTATTTCTTATTGTGGGATTTTATAAACATATTGATTAAATACTCAAACACAGAGCAATAGTCAGCAACCATAGGTAAGGGAACTGACCCAAGGAATATAAACACTGACTTGAAAAAGAAGTGGATAGCCGATATATTCCTACATTTGCGTTATCAGACCAATTTTCCATATCAATATTGCATCAGGGCCTCCTTAGTTGTCACACAGTTATTTCTGACTGTTTGGGCTAGTGATTTGTTAAAACATGTGTGCTTTCCTTTACTTTAACTCTGTGACCTGTAAACTTTTGTGTGGATTTATTAATGTGGTTAAAAAACGCAACAGTCGCCCACTAGCTGAGCAGTAACTGACTGGTGTATTTATCAGTCTTGTGATAGTGTATTTCCACAAATATAGTTTCTGTTTGTCCAAACTCTGCATCCTCATACTGTCACTATGGAATGTTATAAAGCAGGGAGGATGTTTGTGAGGCGGCAAGGTGAATTACCTCAATAGGATTTATATTTCCAAAATTACATTTGCCGCTTTTTGTTAGGATTCACAAACATACATTTTCTGGAGGAGCCTCAATGCTCTCACGTGGTTTTAACAGTTGAGAACCAGTTATCAGAAAAGAACATAGCCCATAGTGACTTAGATTTTAATTGCTCGCTTTCTTTATCTTTCCTCCTTGAAACAAGGTGACCAGACTAGTAAAATGTAAGGAGAGAATGAGCAAATTTAGACGACTTTCTAAGAATGAAGAGACGTTTCCAGAGTGAGAAGCTACACTGCAAAAAAAAAATTATTCTGAGTAAGTCAGTTCTTCTTAAATAAGTGTAGGTGAGACACTTTACCAATGGAATAAAACAATTTACATTTGAAATAGGAAAAAAAAAACAACCGCAGTCTTCTATATCAATTGTGTAATACCTAATTATATTATTTTAGGATAAAAATACAAATTTTGTTAGAAGATCATCTTATTTGCATACTCAAATTAAAAGTAACTACAATTGCATTGCATGGAAACTTGTAGACAAGGAATATTTTCAGCAAGGTTTGAATTGATAACATCAAACATTTATTAGTAAGTATAAAAGCTCTGACTAATTGAGAAGCACAACAATTGATCTGACTAATCAAGTTTAACCGGAAGGCTGAACATGTTTCTCTCTGACAAGCAGAATGAGACCCTTACCATCCAATTTGTGCTCTGAAGGCCTTTCTTTTCACAACTTCTCCTTTCCACCCCTCTCTAAAATCTTTTTGAAATATTTTGCCTTGCATGCTTTGGCACACAGCACCATTCCTAAGTCTGTTTGGCTTAGCAAAAGGATAACAAAGTCCACATGTGCAAGCCAAGAGAAACAAAACCAATACATCTAGAGGTACAAGCATACAATGTTCCTCCAAAGCAATTTTCTATAACGATAGAGGCTTTCTGCCTCAGGGGAGTTTTTCTGCTTTTTATAAGCTGTGTTGGTTTTTAAACCAGCATCTGATTGCAGTGGTTTTTAGTCAAGAAAAAAAAGGTTTTTCCGTTTATTGCTCTAGCTTATAGGGCTGTTCCGAGTAACTTTGTGTATTTAATATCTATCTATCTATCTATCTATCTATCTATCTATCTATCTATCTATCTATCTATCTATCTATCTATCTATCTATCTATCTATCTGTCTGTGTGTATATACTTATCTTGCGATGAATTGAGAGTAGCTTGTTTATTTTATCATGTTAAATCCTGTTAATTCAAGGATTGATCTCTTAATCATTTTTAATATAAATGATCAAATAAACCTCAATTCTTTTACTTCCCTATCATTAAAAGTAATAAGCATTTCTAATATTTTGCATGAGATGGTACTTTACCTAATTTACATTTCTCTCATATTGCAACCACAAACCATGTTGTTTTTCCTCAGATATGACAGATCAACTGTAGGTAACGGTTGCATGAAATTAAAAGAAAATCAGCTCTCAACACTCTCTCTGTAGAAGGATCATAATGTCCCGTCTCCGAAAAGGCCTTAGTAAGAATCCTGCAGCCATTTTAGAATTTGGATTGATTAAAAACTTCTGAAAACTATGCCTCATTATTGTTTTTTACAGTTATAAATCATTTCGTCAGTTATACAAAATCTATATACATTCAAGTTTGCAAATGTAACATATTTAAAAAATAATAAAAAAAAAACTTCAGGGGTATGACTACCAACATGTAGTTGTAAGATTTCAGAACGCTTTAATAGCTTGTTTGCATTCATTTACACACCCTTAAATTATTACTTTGTTGAAGCATTTTTGTGATTCAGTTCCAGAGTTAGACTTCCCGGTGTCAGTATGCCTTGAATTATACAGAATTAAACCACAAGTTCAGCTTTTCCAGTAGGATTTCACTGATATGTCTTTTGGATAGATTTCCTGATGTCACCAGTACCAGAGACTATAAAATGATTTCTGTGCAAAGGTATCAGTCAGGATAAGAGAACAAAAACATCCACCTAATTTTGGTCTAAATTACCGTACATACTACAGTGGATGTTTCTCCAGAACTGATAAAAAACCCAACAACATAGAAACTGTTCAGTGGCTATGCTAAAAGCCTAAAGTTATACAAAAGAAAATTTAGCAATTTCTGGTTAAACTCGCTGTGTTATGTGACAACAATCTCCCTCTCCATATGTCTGGACTAACACGTAAAAGAAAGCACCTTCTTCAAAGAAAACATCTGGCTCAGGGTAAAATCTTCACAAAACTGCTGAAACAAAACAAAAATTTTGGTCAACGTTATAAAGGTTTGTTTGACATGAAAAAAAAGAACAACACAATGTGAAACATGGTAGTGGCAGCATCATTCTGTGGGGCTACCTAAAAAAAATTAAATAATTGCCAGTCTTTGTAAGTTGCAGTATAGAACAGTATATTTATCAAAAACCTTCCAAAATATGTTAGAAGATTGATTTAGTTTATTTTCAACAGCTGGGTTCCCATTAAAAATGTAGCAAACTATGTTGATATTCTGCTAATTTTGAAAATGCAATTGTGGTATTTTTCTTTAACATGCTGGTGAAGATTCTCAGTCATCCAGGTCGCAGTCATTCCAAGAAAGTTTAAAAAGTAAAAAAAAAAAAAAAACACTGGACTTTGTCTTCCACGTTTTAAGCAGTTTTATTTCCCATCCAGGAAGATTTTTGAATTAAAAATGTCTGGATTAGCTTTGAGTTCAAAGCTTTACAGAGTAGCCCAACAAAGCCTTAATATGGCTTAGAAAACATGCAAATTGAACCGAAAGAACAGGTCCACCCCTTAGTAATGGGGGGTCATTGAGGTCGTTGGTGGCCTGCAATGCCTGATACTGGCCTATGCCTCTGAAAAGGGAGTCTTTAGAGTCATTGCTGGCTGACCAAGCGAAATGTTTTGGTCCCCTGCATGTCGATGGGGGTTGAAATTATAGCGGGAAGGAATCAACACTATTGTTGCGTTATAGGTTTTTGAGAGCTGGAACCTGAGATCACCCCCTCTGTTTAAAGTTGTTTTTTTCTCTTAACATAAACGGCTTTGAAAGGTGTTTGCAGCCAGCATTAGAGTTGATTCCTTCCCACTATCATCTCAAAACATCTTGCCTGGTCAACTAGTCAATGACTCCCCATTACTAAAGGGTGGACCTGTTCTTTCAGTTCAATTTGCATGTTTTCTAAGCCATAACAAGGCTTTTTTTGGGCTACTCCATAAAGCTTGGAACTCAAAGCTAATACAGGTATTTTGAATTGAAAACCCTTTCTGGATGGGAAGCGAAATGTCTTCACATGAAAAACCAAGTCCAGCGGATTGTTTTTTTTTACTTTTTAAAAAACTTTTTTGGCATTTCCATTAGATAAGAAATATAGTGAAAATTAATCTGTTTGTGAAAACTCTGAAGGAAAACATGGCAGCTGTGGGTGTTAACACATGAGATATATTTATATATCAGTCACCGCTCTAGTGCTCATCGTGCTCAAGATCTGTGTTAAAAATATAGTCTCATCCAGAATCCAAACATGCCGGGTCTTCTTCTTGTCTTCATAAAAGGCACTAAGCTCCAGTTGCAGATGAGTCGTGTGATACGAAAAAAAAAGTGCTTCCAGTTCAATTTTGCGAAATCTAAGAATTTCGGCGACCATAAAAAACTTCATTCAAACTTTTTTTCCATAAACATGAGTTTATGGATAAAATCGAGAGGAGCCGAATGAGGTGGCTCGGGCATCTAATTAGGATGCCTCCTGGACGTCTCCCTGGTGAGGTGTTCCAGTCTGGGCCTCCCTACTGAAGCTGCTACCCCCACGACCTGACCCCGGATAAGCAGAAGTGGATGGATGGATGGATGGATGGATGGATGGATGGATGGATGGATGGATGGATGGATGGATGGAACATGAGTTTGCATTCAGCAAATATATTTTCATAATTCCAATTTTCTAAAATTGATGGTTAATGGAAGCTCATCTACCGCTAATCTTTTATTTTTTTATATATATATTTTTTTTTAGGAGAAATATTAGCAAAAGGAATGACTGCACCAGAAGGAAGTTACATTTTTTATGATTGGCTTTATCAGCTCAGATATTAGATGTCACCATAGGACCTTCACAATCAGAAGAACTGGAGGACCTTTGCAAGGCTGAGTGGGCAATTATTACCAAGTCAAGATGTGGGCTGCTAAAAACAAAGATGATGGCTGAAAATGAAAGGGATCCTTCATCAAAATATAAATTTAAGAGTGTGCATCCTTCTATGAAGGGTTTATTGTATCCTTTACCTGCAAGACATTCTTTTAGTTGGACTGGGCTATATATTTGTTGCACAGGGGTTAAAAGTTATGAATTTATTCCTTATAGCCCTTCTAACGTTTCACAGACAGAAAACTATAAAATCTTTACATGCCTAAATTAAGGTTGCTTTCAGGAGAAAAAAAAAGATTAAATAAAGTTAGGATCAACTTATGCGAGTTATTGCCTCAGAAAAAAAATCAAAAATGGCATATATCAGATTTAGATTTTTGCAAAGCTTTAACCAGCTCTAACTGAGGTTTTTTTTCCCTACAGAGAGCAATCCTGCAGCGCCTCGGTCTGTCCGCCGCCTCTCCCACATTCTCAGACAGTTTATTAAAAAAATCAGACAAAAGGAAAACAAAAATGGCAGCCCTGTCTTATTTTTATAACCAACGGACGCCATATTCTGCAGAAAGGACTGTAAGAAGCAGATAACCCTCCGGCTGTCATTAGAGGCCACTGCGACGCGAATGCATGCGGCATATTTGCATAAAGCGCAGGCATGATTGTTTACTTTGATTTGCAGGTTTGAATAGCCCGGCTTGGAGAGAGGAAAAAAAAAACCACAGTGACACTTCCCACGGCAATGAGCGTGGATTTTCCACAGCGCCGAGCTGTGCCACAAACCCGACGATCAGGAAAGCTTTTAGTTTAGGCTTAAGACAACATTTATTAACATTTAAACAACGCACATTGTCATTTTTATTATTCCTAATCCCGCAGGACTTTTAGGATGCAGAGCAGCGGATTAAAGCTGCGGAAAGAGGCGGATTATTTTCACGGAGAGGCCAACATACCTGCGCCAGCGAGAGGAGAAGAAACAGAACAATTTCTAACGGAACAGGACTCCGCTTTTTCTGTCTGCTTTCAGCCACACTTCAAGCCTTCCGGGTCGCCTGCTGTTCACTTCTGGGTGCTACAGCCGAAACACATTTTAGAGCAAAGAGAGAGAAAGAAAAAAATCCCAGTTAAGGCTGATTTTAACCCATTTTCTGGCTCATGATTTCAACCCATCCGTCTCTGTGCAGATGTTGCAGATGTGCGCCGCAGCTCTAATAAAAGTGAGCGCATGAATTAAAGGGGGTTCTCATAATAAAACCCTCCTGTAGGTCACTACTGTGGGAATAATGGGTTATAATATGAATGTGACTCATTTTTTTTCACCCAATATTAAATATAAACCACGCACACAAACATACTGCAGACAGATACATAGTGGAGGAGTAAAAAGTGATGCATCTATGTATTTTTCCTGTGGAAGATAATGTTTGAATTTAAGTCTTAATCCTCTGAGCTGCAGCAGCATGACAGGCTGCTAATAGTCTCTGTGCTGAGCTCATCAGGAGAGGGCACTACTGCCACACTGAGCCTCAGCTGGGGGGCCCTTTGACCCCTCACTGTAGTTAGAGACATTCATCTCTTTCACACATGTGGCTGTTATACTTTCTGCTTCACTTCAGCTGCTTTAGAAAAGCTACATGGGCTGATAAATTGTGCATTTGTGTTGACTTTCCTTTTTGAAAATGTGACAAGAAACAAACTATCCTCTGACATGGGAGTTGGCTCGGAGCTTGTCTGCCTGGCTGTGTGTTTCCTGGATGGGGACACCTTTTACAGTTGCTGTTTGTATCTCTGCTTCTGTCTCCTTGAACTACAGTCGGCCTTGGCAGATGGCTGCTCACACTGAGACTGATTCTGCTGGAGGTTTCTTCCTGTTAAAAGGGAGTTTTTCCTCTCCACTGTCGCTACAGGCATGCTTAGTGTGAGGAATGGCCTTTGAGTCATTGAGCTGATGCAATCAACTGGTTTTCCTTAGGTAGAAAACTGTGAATCAATGTGACTGTATGATCTGGTTGAACTGTAAATTGCCTTGAGATGACTTGTGTTGTGAATTGGCGCTATATAAATAAACTGAATTGAATTAAAAATGTAACATTTTTGATATATAATACTTCTTCAGAGGTTGTTTTTACATCTTTGAGGGATTCTTCTAGGAAAGCTTTTTTAAACGTTTTTCCATAAGTTATTTTAATTTGAATTTGCAGATTATGTGTATTCTTAGCTCGTGTCTTAACAGACAATTCAATATGGTTGCATAATGACAATAAAAAGTATTGCACTTGATATAAACCCATAAAACAAACAAAAAAATATTTATCAGAAACAGGAAAAAATAAGAAAATTACAAAATAAGAAAATTACCCACTTCAGAAAATAATGTACAATGTTAGGAAACATGATTTATAAATGTTGATGTTACTCCTGAATGTAGCTTAATTCACACGAGTCAAACAATTCTGTATATTCAAACTAATATTGCTTTACATTTCTACCATAATGGGTTAATATACTTTCCCTGTAGAACAGCTCTGGGCTACTTCTTATATGATTTTATTTCTGTCAGGTTAACTTTGTTTACTAATTATGTTTCTTTGGATGGCAGTCTGTTCCACTGGATTATATTTTCGAGTGTCAGAGTAAAGGGGTTTGAATACAAATGTAAAGAAGACAATCAAAAATGTTTCATTTGTAAAATACATTTTTAAAATGTCACTTTGTTTTTGGCTTTACCAAAAAAAATAAAAAAATCAATTTCAGGTTGCTCTCCTGTTGTTTAATCGCCAATGTTGCATTTGTATTTTCCTTTTTCAATCTTAGAAAATATTTAAGCAAAAAATTTAAATAAAAAAAACAAATCTGTCCTTAATAGGTTGTCAAATCTTTTGGTCTTTTCACGAGATCTTAACCAATCACATTTTATTGTCAGAAAACAGCCAGGTGCACTGAGGTTCATATTTAGATTCTAATTTAATATATATGCAGAATGCAAAGTGACAAGATTAAATCTTGGATCAATGGGGAATTAATATATTTGAATGAATTCAGAGACGACTGGGACATGTATAGTAACCTTAATAAACTCCATTTAGCAACCATTGTATGGGAACACCACACTGCAAAGGCTTGCATCTTTCTGGATGCAGTTTCTGTTATATACATCTATAAACATTGTATGGTGAAACTGATTATTCTGATATAGCACATGCATCTCAGGCCCTCCTAAATACCAGAATCCCCCCAACCTGATCCCACCTAGCAGGTTTTAGTTGTTGCTGTTGGGAGGAGCAAGGTCAGGGGTGAAACAATAAGGATGGCTACCCTGGAGCACAGAAAAGTTTCTGTGATGGTTTTGTTCCTGATTAACTCACTGCTGCTTGGTGTGACCTTTTATAAGTTTTACATTTAAAAGTCAGTGAGACCCAACTAATTTGCCTAGAGTGAAAATGTAAAATCAAAGCCTGATAAGATTACAATATGACATCAATTCAATTTTATTTACATACAATGAGGTCAGAATTGATCTCCCTTTTTACAGAAATTGTTTAAAAAGTTCAATTTAAATCCTGTTGCACTGAGCCTATTTTAATTTGATTAATTTCAGTTTAGCCTATTTTTAGTCAGATTTAGACAAATGATTTAGTCTAAATTATGATTACAGTATATCCTTTTTTTTTTTTTTTTTTTTTTTTTTTACATTTTATCACCTTCAAGTCTTGTTTTCTGGATTTTTTCCTGACACAAAGCACTGGAAATTATCTGTTTCAAATGTAACTGCAGCAGTTTAAAGCTGCTGGTTTTTTAGTCTCTACCAGCTTTGATCACATAGAAACTGACATGTTTGCCCTCTACTTTTTGCAAAATAGAATGGATGGAGAGCCTTTTGCATTTCACATGCTGTCAACATGTTTGCACATAAACAGGCTGTGACCTGTATTGTTCATTTAAAGCTCTTGCTTGATTTTTATTTTTGTTACTCTTTCTGCATAGATGAACAGTTCTTAGCAAAAGATCCATAATTTTATTCAACAGTTGTGAATTATCAACACAACTGAGGGTGACCCCAGCATATTTGATGGTTAGGATGATGTGTTCAGAGATTTTATTTATTTATTTTATGCATAACATTCAAATAGGATGACAATTGTTATCTTCCAGATGTGCAGCGTGTCGCCTACACTTATTCTTTTCCTTTGGTTTTATTTAACTATGGACCATTTTTCTGTTTGGAATAAATATTTATTGACTTAACCAGAGTAAACCAGTTGCTTCTAGGCTGCTATTCTCCTTGCTTAATCTGTGAGTTTAGGTGGAGGTGGCATGTGTTGATTTACAGCTGTGCAATACTCTTGCAACAGTGCAGGTTGCATAGAGCTCTGTTAAATTTAACAAAGCTTGGATTAAGAGAAAATGTTTGGGGCACAGAAATGTGCATCGTGGCAGAATCCAGCCAAGGCAGCAGTGGCTAAAGACAGCATTGGATGAAGAGCAATGTCACTTCAAATATAGTGAAGCTTCAGATAACAAGTAATAATAATAATTCAAATATGTGGAACAAGTTCAGGTGCTTTTTCTTTCTTTTTTTTTTTTTTCAGCACTGTAGTTATTAAAATAGGAATATATCCGAGTAAGTCATCAGCTTGCATAAAAACTTCACCAACTAGTGTCTACTTGATTTTCTCAGCAGATGAAGTTGCACAAGCTGCGGTTTAATTTATTCTTCACATTCATTAAAGACATTAAAGAAATCATAGTTTATAAAAAATCGACATGCTCGTTCATGAATTGGAGGTTTAAAAGACGAGAAATATTACGTCTTTGATCTCATTCTGGAATTCAATGTTCAACTCAAAGAAAAATTGTGGTGGAAAACCTGTTGATATCACTAAGCCTAGACCCCTCCGAAAATCTTGTATATATTTCTAACGATGTGATGCAAGGACTGAAATGATCACTGCCTGTTTTTGACTCATTTGTTAATTTAAATTAGATTCAGCTTGTCTTTGAACATGTAAAGGGCATGCTATGTCAGAAAAGGGTTAATTCTGCTTGTAACCGTGCTACAAGATACCTTTGCCTCATAAAGTCATTTATTATTCATGAATAAGAGCAGACTGCAACACAGTATTAAAATGCACAATTTGACCTATCTTTGCATAACCTGCTGCACAGAGTGTATTCATCATTTCACTCTGAACAAACAGAGTTGTTTGTATGTCCTCCATCCAGCCTGCTCTTTGCCCAGGTCAGCAGGTTTCACTTTAAAAAACAAAACGGACACATTAAAAGAGCATCTGTTTGCAGAATTCGTTCCACTGGTTTTGTTTCCTGCCCAAACACAGCCACACCCTCCAGGAACACACCGTCACCTGCATTCACCAGGTGCAGGAAGGGCAGGGACGAAGCCTGGGGGGAGGAGGGATGACAGGTTGTCCATTTGAGGGTGGAGCAAAAGGGGGAGGTGAGAAAGGCGGATGAAGCATTTAAAGCTTATATTGACATGCTGCTCTGCAGTCTCTTTTGAGAACAGGTAAGTCCAGGGCATTTGCTGTCTTCTCTTTTAAAGATTTATTTGTATGTGTGAGACATTTTTTTCTTAAAGACCACAGAAATACTTTCTTTCCGGTTTGAAGCAGTCCGATTGTAAATTGTTGTGGCCTGTTGAGGTTTTCAGACACCCTTCAGTCTCTGCATAGGTGGATTATTTTCATAATTCTTCCTGACTCAGGGATGCAGCTGAGCTTGTCCCTGAGCTTCTTTTTGTTTTTTTTTCCAAACACTGCCTGCTCCAGGGTTCTTTACCAGTGTATCAAATCAAATGGTAATCAGTGACTGATAGCTTTTAAAAAAAAATATATATATATATCTGAATAAACATTTCTTGTCAGTAGAAGGTTTATTTCTGGTCGAGTTCCTGACATGCCTGAGCTCCTCCTCCCTCGGGCCAAAGGAAAAACCTGTTGGTCTGTGTTTGTTATGTCCTTTCAGCCATGGATGGCGTGTTGGAAGGAGCGGTGGTGTTATCTGCCTGTAAACTGGCCTGCAGTCTCTTCTTCCTGCCCTCTCTGGCTGCAACCCACAGTCCTGTCAGCTTTTGTTGCAGTTCCCTCTTGATCTTCACAGACTTCCTGATCACAGGTAAGAACAAGATCAGGTGCACCACTCATCGTAAATCTCTAATTCAATGCTTTTGTAGTTTTGTCTTATTTGATTTTTCGCCCCTCTAAAGGCCCATTAAGCCATCTCTCGCACCTTCAATTTAAATTCTTTACTATTAGTGAAGTGCTTCTTCATATTTTCATTGTTTTCCAGATTTTCAGTACTTCTTCCCTTTAGGTCTGGGGTCTTCTGGCTTCCAGTTGGTCCAGCTCTCATTTGCTCTCATGTGGTTGCAGGTGCAGCAGAGCAAATTTTTTTTCTACCCAAATATGGTGCATGGCATGATCAGACATTAAACCTGCACGAAGCTTTGAAACGGTTCTTTAATTTGCGTTTGATCCGATGACTCAAGGCTTTCTGCAGATTTAAGACAACGCTTCTTACTTTGTTTATATAGCACCACATCACCACAGCCATAATCCAGAAGTACTTTACAAGGCAAATCAATTCATATCATATTCAGCTTTGTATCATCCAGTTCCACTCAACATAAAATAAAATTAATCCATCCTTTTAACCAGTTAGACGCAGTAAATAATGCTGCTTATAAATCATTTTTAAAAGCAGCCTGAATCTGTTCAGGCTGCTTATTTGACTGAAGTTATAATTTATTTCTGAGATAAAATTACTCATAGTAATATGTTTTTTAAATGAAAGCATTACCATAAAAATCTAAATATACTTCTAAACTGAGTAATATTAAGTCAGTATTGGTCAAAAGAATATTACTTTTGATATTTTGATACAACATAAATCTTGGCAACATTTTAGCGTTATAAAGTGGATGTGTAATACAAAAAGTTAGATAATGTGTGTCTTTTTTAAAAGTTTTTTTTTTAAATATATTTTAAGCCTGTGAACAGTTTAAGTTCATTCTTTGAATTTTTGGTCTAGAAACATTACAGTCCATGAATTAAAAAAACAATTTGAGAAGATTAGCAGCGTCTTAATTCACACATTTACATGTTTATTTGTGCAATCTTTTGTTATTTTTTAAATGCGGTGTAAATGAAATGCTAACTAAATGTTGATAAAGACCAGAATGAAAAAAATAGGTCTTTGTTAAGTCAGTGTAGATCTCAGTCATCCAGGACAGGACGATCCTAAGAGGTTAATTAGGAGACTTAACTTCTTCAGTTTCCTGAAGATCCAAAAGGTTGTTCACTTCTTTCGAGCTGAATACAGATTCCTCCCAAACTCAACTGTAAAACATTAAAAAGAGCGCATTATCTCTCTTCCTCTTCACAAGTCGGCAGTACTTTATATTGCTCTGTCACATCGAAGGGATTTTCGGAAGTACTCAAACTTAAGAACAAAGGCATGTTTTTTAGATTCTGAACATCTAACCTTGCGGTGATATCTAAATGCACGTCTTGAATTTGAATATGTAATCTGTCTGTCTACAGCGCCTGCACTGATTAGATTGTTGGCCCGAAAAACAGCAGCGTCTTATCTGAATGTCCCTGCCTGATAGGCGTTGTGCTGCTGCCACACAGTCAGCCTGACTTTTCACTGATAATCACTGTTTCTCTGCGTGCTTTTACTTCTTCCTGCCTCTTAAGATGTAACGTCAATTTAGCGTTCCAATTAGCTAAAACAGAGGTTTATTCCTCCCTTACCTGTAATTGCCTAAAGAGATTCAACCAATCAGATTGATCAGACATAACCTTTCTAAGAGATTTGGTTACCTTACTCCTTTTCAGCCTGTGCTATCCTGTAAAAGGCATTCAAAGGCCTAACAGATGTTAGATGTGACATGAACCATTGTGAATAAGAGTAAAGTATTCCTATACAGATGGTTTGCTGGCTAATGTTCATCTCAATACCTCTCAGATTAAACAGGTGTGGTACAGTAGCATAAATATCTGAGTTCACTTGTAGCTTAGAAGAAGATTTATCAATAAGGTTTTATTGCAATATTGAATCTGAAGTGTTGGGGTCCATGTCCCACTGGGGGTGAATGTGGAAAGGGTTTAATATCTCCCTAAAAACCAAGCTTGGCTTTTTACTTTTACTTCTCTTTAAAATATAACACGTGTTTCACTCTTTATCAATGGATTTAAGGTTTTCAATAAATATTCTGCATCAGACTAAATCAAGAAACAGATCATGTAGCTTCTGCAGTCAAGCTATCGGGGTTCAATCCGTCTTGTTCTGGTCTGCCTCTGCTTCCTGAAGGGTCTGTGTCTGACAGGGATACAGTCTCCTCCCCGTTCTTCAATGGACGTCATCCTCCTTGAGACGGTTAAAAGACTACATTTTTACAAAATATTTGACACCAAGCATCAAACATCTTCATTTTGAGCAGATATTGATGCCAAGGTACTGATATAATATAATATTGTCTTCTCCTCTCAGGCTTACAGATTAAACAACATACTAGATGAGTAGGCATTCTCTAAACAAACAGCTTAACCTCCACTGCTTATCTTGATTGTTTTCTTTCTGAACAAGGATTGGAGTTTCAGTATCTCAGTAATTGATTCTGGAATATTTTAAAGGAGCCAGACACCTAAAGTATCTTAAAAGTGAGTAAAACCATCTCATTTATGTTATTACTTAACGATAGCTCTTCATGGGATGACACAGAGGAAGATGTGACATGTCTATACAATGTAAACTTACATTGCAATAGTACATAACTTATTATTTACAATGTAAATAGTAAGATTACAGCTTGTATAACAAAGATAATTTGCTCTCTACTCACAATAACTCAACACCTTATCTAAACCCTGGCCACGCAAGTAAATACAGCCCTAAATGAAAAAGTGCGCCCACTAAAGTGCTACAAGACACATCTAGGGAAAATAGATCTAACACAAGCAAAGGGCCTGAAGAGTGGAAGACAACTATCAGGGTTCTTGTCTCACATTCAGTGGGGCCCATAACAGTGCACTGGATAGTCGCAAGCTAAAGACTGACGACAATAAAATCATACGAGAAAACAGACAAACTTAACCTCTGAGTTTTGTTCATTTATGCATATGGCTAAAAATACATTTGTACAGTACAGCAGTACACACCTTTATGTGTATAGGGTAAGTCAAAGTGTGTACAGGGAGAACAAATACTGGACATCTAGGGAATAAAAACTGATATCAGTTATGATACTGGCCAAATATCTTTTGAATACAGCCGGGCACAGATTTTGACAATCCTAGATGAATCTGCATTTGTCTCATCATTAATAGACTGTCCTCAGTTTATTAAATAAATTGTGGATAATATTTGAGTTCCTATCCCCTCCAGTTTTTTATTAAATGTATTAAACATTTCTTCTACTGTTAAGGCAGTCATTGCTGGTATAAAGTTCACTGAACTGCACTTTAAAACAGTCCAGGCTGTATCTGGTTCTGAGGTAGCATTGTTTGGAAGCTGTTTTCGGCCCAAAGACCTCGCCTCATGTCATTCCCTTTTCTATCAACCAAATTTCCTGACAGAATACTGTCAAAAAAAATCCACTAGTGCCCAATTTTTTTTTCAAAAGTCCAACCTATTTTTCTACCAAGTAGTTGGGTTTCAGCGTAATCTCTGCGTTTTATTCTTACAGGTTTCCTGAGTTTCCTTTGGGCCTTGAAGTTCTGGCTGACCGAGCTGAACCCACCTGGTGACGTCATCGCCTTGCGGTTCCTGCTTTTCCTCAGCCACACCTATGGAGCGGTGCTGCTTCTAACCACGTTTCTGATCTCTATGGAGACCCTGATCAGAGTGCTGTGGCCTGATGTTGAAGCAGTTCCCAGTACTGTGGACGATGATGGGGAGGAGGAAGAGGACAGCAGCCAGCTGGATAAAGGAGAGAGCCTGCCACAGGTGGTCGGATTCTTCTGCTGCCTGTCTGTGTGGATCGCCGTAGCCTTCAGTGTCAGGTGGCATTGGGCGCTGGAGGAAGGATGGACTGCTGCCTGTTTGGACACAGATCACTCTCTTGTCAGATGTCTGCCTAACCTCTTCAGTCCCATGCACAGTGTGATAAATCCCCACTGGAGCTCCGCCTTCCTCATCCTGCTTGGGCTCCTGCTGACCATCAGCACAGGCCTGCAGAGAAGTAAACGGACCTCTGCAGAACCAAACAGAACCCAGGCGTATTGGGACAGCTGGTGGCAGGCCTTGAACAAAGCCATGCCTGCATCTTTCAAGCCTGTGCATCCAGAGGGGTTGATGACAAAGTGTGTTGACAGAGACTTTGTCCTCACTTCCCATGAATGTTTGTCTGAAAAGGGGGAGAGACAGGACACCAAGAGGACACAGAAGCAAATCCCCCTGCCTTTCATCATGGAGCAACATTTAGATTCCAATGAAACAAGCCTCAGCCGGTGGCAACTGTGGGTTTTTTCAAACCTGGAGGAGAAAACACTGATGGGGTTTTTTAGTGTGCTTTTCTTTTTCACTCTGCCCTTCTACCTTAGCGTAAATATTCTTCTGATCAGGACTATAGACACTCTGCTGCAGGGGTGCATCAAGTCCTTACTTTCTGTTCTTGCCAAAAGCAGAAACACATCAGCCTCTCGCCAAGTTACAGAGGTTTAAAAAAAAAAAAAAAGACTGATGTTTGTTTCCACGGGACCATGGAGAATGGTAGTAAGCAGTTGGTTGTTTTACCTGTTAACACAGCTTTGACAGGACGGTAAACACACGCTCCCTGGCAGCTATTCCTATGTTGGTAATAATATTTGAAAAGTGCAGAGAGGTGCTGAGGAGGCAGGTCGGGGCGTGCTTGCAGAGAGACTACACCTGGCACTTTTTAAACTGCTTCAGAGCATCAGTTTCCTCTGATGTTTATGGTTACAGAAAACTGCAGCTTGGGTGAGATTGATCCAATAGTAAACAATGTCTTTAAAGGTTTAACATAAAGTCTGCTGATCCAACCTGAAATAAAAATCGATTTAATAAACACCAAGTGACTTCAAGGCAAACAGACTGTCTTAATGCTGTGCAGTCATTCAGATAAAGATTACAGAGGTGAGTCAGAAATGGTTGCCTCGTTACAGCCATAAACCTTGTTGTATGATATTTGATTGGAATGTGGTAGACAACACAAAGTTGTATAGATGTACTGTATGCAGTTAATGAAAAGACTAGATGGTTTTTAATAAAAAATATGGCACATTTAGCTCCCCAAATCTGATATTTTCTAATAAAATCTGGTAAAATCCTAAAAATTAATTGACTTTACGTATATCAAACTTTTCTAGACATGTAGGATATTCAAAGAAAGCCATATTTACCCAATATTATACATTCTTTTACTAATAAGCTGGCCCAAAGGCAGCTCAGGGTCATCAGTTGTGTTTTTCAATCATATGGCACTCCCTTCAGACATGACAGCTCGAAAATATGAGAACAACCACATTATGTACAATCAGTCAAACGTTTGTGCAACTTTTAACACAGTGTTTTTAGTAAAACAACAGATAGTGGTGAGCTACAGTGCAGAGTATTGCTAAGCATGACTATAAACAGGAATTTGCAGCAGGCTTGGGAAATTTGGAAATATTTTTGTCTTTTACAATGAGGTAAAGCTTTGTAAGCTTCTAATGGGTTGAATTACAATACATGCATATAATAAGATACACAGACTACATGTAAGAAAGCAAAGCTTTTTTACAGAAAGTTTGCAGCTGAGAGAATTTTTTTAATTTGTGGGACACAAAAAATTCCGATGTGCAAAACAGTCACCACATACGATACCTTCATTATGAAGGTATCAGGATGTATGAAGGCTTCATACATCCTGATTCGCGTGACACAGACTGGAGCTGCAGGTTGGTTTTTCGCCCATTCTGTCCCTGATTACATGTGAAAATCTGTATAATTGCCCTGAAGGTAACTATAGTAGCATCTGTTATAATAATAGCGAGTCTAATAGCGAGACTTGTCTGCTGTTATGAAGTTTAATGCTATTGTGACTTGGTTTATTTAATGAAATAATGCTCGGACTGTCAAGTTTTTCTGTGAACATGAACCTAATTGTGTCTTAGGACAACAAATTAAAGAAATAAATTTACAAGCACCTCCATTCCAGATATAAGAATGTATAATGAAGAATTGTTTTACTTCAACTCCAACATATTTCAGTTAAAAATCTTTCCTAAACTAGTGAAACTCTACAGAACTAATTACCTCCTAAGAACACATAAAAAATGAGGATGGTTGAATAGCATAATGGACAAAATGATGTAACAATATCACATTTAGACATGCATTTATTGCTTGAGAACCAAAATTTTTGTTGAAATCTGGAATGAGGTTAAATTAGGTTTTAACTAATTTGGAGCAATTAAAATTTGTTCAAACCAATTCAAAATGCAGCTCCAAGAGGTAAACATTATTTGATCAAATAACTTATTGGATTTTTTGCTTATAACAGAAATCATCAACCTTTTAGATTATTCAATTTTAACGTGCTGTGACTGTTCCTGAGGGAAGCGTTCATATTTAAGAAACACAAACTTGCTTCTTTAGCAAGGTGTGGTTTATTAATATAACAGAGCTGGTAGTTAGCAGACGCAAGGGGACTCTTTTTAGAAGGACTCTTTTGTCATTTAGTAATCAAATGTAATGAACATATCAGGAAACATATCAATTTAACCTTTCAACATGTTACCATTAAGTAAGCTGTGGCTTGCTTTATTTTTAATGTTTTTTTACTAAGTAAAACACATAAAATAGTCAAAAATCCAAGCTGTTTTGGCAGAAACTCTTCCCCTTTCCAGAGCTGTAACCTCTGTTGATCTCCGTTTTGGAAAGCTGAAGGGTCTCCAAAGCTTAGCCAAGGCTGTGTTGGGTAGCTGTGTACAGATGGCCAAGCTTTTGAGCAACCCAAAAGCAAGATTTCTTGGTTTGCAGAGAATCTCATTCAACCATTCATCCCCAATGTGGTCCCTCGGATCCCACGGGCAAAGAGACAGAAGGTAGCAGTCTAAAAGCTTTTATACTAAGCACCATGGGGGAGGTCATCACATGCCGCTGTGGTATGTTTTTCTGTGGGATTGTTTTGAACAGGGTTTGCACTAGTGATGGGTCCAGCAACAGTAATGCATTGACGCATGCATCAAGCTCATTGAGCAAAACCCAGTGTCAGTGCATAATGTAACAACCCGAGTAAAGATGAAACAATCTCGGCCTTAAAAAAATATATGTTCTTTATGTAAAAAAAAAAATCCTTTTCCTCTCTTTCTACAACACTGATGGCTTAAGGTAGAAAATATAATATTTGCATTCTGATATTGATGGATGGTGGACAAACCCGCATAACCAGAACAAGAAAGTCGCACACTAATTGAACCCCAGTCGGCCTCAGCAGATGGCCGCTCACACTGAGCCTGGTTCTGCTGGAGGTTTCTTTCTGTTAAAAGGGATTTTTTTTCTCTCCACTGTCGCTACAAGCATGCTTAGTGAGAGAGATTGCATCCGAGTCAATGAGTCGATGCAATCAACTGGTTTTCCTTAGATAGAGAACTTTGGACCAATTTGACTGTATGATCTGGTGAACTGTAACGTGACTGGAGATGCCATGCGTTGTGAATTGGCGCTATATAAATAAACTGAATTAACTTCAGAGGATCTCCATCTGAAGTTAAGTTATTTTCTCTGTGATATCTCTGTATCTAAGTAACTCTAACTGACTACTTTAAAACATAGCACCTTCTGCTGCACTTTTCTACTGAGCACTTGTCAGTTTCACACGGTTTTATTTCTGATAGCAAGAAGTAGCTAGCCTAGGCTAGCGCTA